AAATTTCTTACAAATTTAATAGGGGCAATTTTGTCCGAAAGTCTTACATCTCTGCTAGTCACATAATTTCTTTTAATCTCATGTTATTCTCCTAATTATGTTCCTCAAGAATAATATTAAACTAATTCACCCCAAAATTTTTGGGTTCGCCTATGCTCTTAAGTGTCATTTACCAATTACACAAATTTAATTTAATGTTTTAAAAATCAAACTAGTACAATAATTATTGGGAAAAAAAGATTTTATTAGATTGCATCCAAGTTTTCGATGTTATATATTTCATATTAAAATAATCTAATATGATATTTTTCCAGTTGAATACTAAAATCGAAACAAAACGTCCGGTTTTCTATTAACCGCGTAAGTTCCGGTTATTAGAACATTTATGGTTAAGAATGAACGGTTAGACGAAATTACCCTCTCTCTTTGACCCTCTGCAACGCGTCGTTTTCGTTTCTGCAGAGAATTTTCCCGGAAAATATTAAAATTAAAGAGAAAAGAAAATCAAAAGAGAGAAAGTCTTCCCTTTTTGTCCAGTCTTCATCTCTTTACTACTGAGAGAGAGAGAAGACGATCCAACCAACTCTTCTTTCTTCTTTTTGCTTACAACATCTCTGATCCAGTGGCTCAACCTCTCTTTAGTGACAAAAGGGTTATCAAGAAACCACCTGAATCTGTATCCGAGACAAAGAACGGTTTGGTTGATTATGCAGCTACTTCTACTCATTGCCCTCTCAAAATCATTGAATCTGTATCCGAGACAAAGAACAAGTTATAATGTTATATACATAGTGGAACGGAACAGAGCCGAGGATATGCATCTCAGATCGTGAACTTGACAACACAGGCCTTGTAGAGCAATTTAGGTCTCTTTGTGATTTCTCCATCGATAGGGTCAAGGTCTTTTATCTTCTATTTCAATTCGACTTGAGAAATTGATCCATAGAAAAGTCGAGTGTTGTTGTGATTCTTCATTATATTGAGCAGATCATGACGAAAGTGATGGTGGATTGCACAATGAGGATGTTAGTTGAGTGGAGAAACCAGAGGAGTGTTGATCAAAAGTGTTTTGTGCCATTTCTCCCAGTAAGTAAATCGTTCAGGTTTCGTTTTCAGTTCTCTGTTCAGACAAGATTCTTAAGANTTGAAAAAAAAAATGGTCTACTTTCTTGTATTCCAAGGGACCTTCCTACGCCTTTGAACTTTCAGATATGGACGCCGGATAGGGAACTGAAGATTATGGAGATTCTGGGAATCATGTTGAAATCTTGCTGAGTCTCAAGGGAGGAAACGAAAGCTAAGCATTGACGAGAAATAGTAGATGAATATGCAGGACTTTCTTCTTTGGTGGGCACGAATCTACTTCGATTATGTTGACATGGACAACTATGTTGCTTAAGCTTGCATCAAGATTGGCAGGAGAAACTCAGAGATGAGATTTTTAAAGAATGCGGTAAAGACAACACCCCAGATTCGGACATTTTCTCTAGACTCAAACTGGTATGTTTCTTTTTTCTCTAAAGCGTTTCTTGTGGTTGAAAAAACCTTTTTATGTCTTGTAGATAACATTGGAGCTCATGGAGTCGCTTCGCCCAGCAATTTTTCCCCCGAGAAGCATCAAAAGATTTGAAGCTTGATGGGCTTCTTGACAAGGCCATTTGTGAAAAGACGCTAAAAAAATTCAAACCGATGCGATTTGAAAATGGCATTTCCCGAGCCACCAATCATTCAAATGCTCTACTTGTGTTCTCCACCAGAAAGACGAAGAAGGCCCAAACCCATGTGGGTCACGAACAGCAACAAGCTTATCCTCAGTAACAAGAACCATTGAATACGCACTTTCATTTTATACACACATATTAGCTTGCATGCGACGCCGTTCCCATATAGAGATGATAGTGGCGCTCCTTTGTCGATAGTGGGTCCAAAGACACGTGTACTCCTTTGATTGGGTGAGTGGAAATTGTTTACGCGAAGAAGAAACGGTTTAAATGAAAATTTTTACGTTGAGGAGGAAGGCGAATATTTTACGACGTTGACGTGGCAGCTTAAGTTCCTTCTCATTAACGTGCTGACGTAGCATAACTGTAGGCCCAAACAACTTCTTTTCATCTCGATTATAATATACTATCAAAAGACAAGTACATTTAACATGTTCTTCGTGCTACATTACCGGATATGAACATTTTTTGTAAGAACATATATCTTATTTTTTCGCCAAAAAAATGAATATATACTATTTAAGGATAGGCAACTAATAGTAAATTATCTGAAGGATTGCGTTTATAATGTTATCTTTAGGTATTGTTATTTGCAAAATACAAAATTAGACCCAATCTAATGAAGCAGTTAGCTAATGATGCGGATATTTCAACTTGTTCTCTTCGTATATTAACGAGCCTTTCAAAAATCTGAAACCAAACAAAGAGAAACCAATTATGGTCTTTTGGTTCCTTCTCAATGCCTATCCATTTGGTACTCAAAAACGTTTCGAAACACCAAAATCTAAAGTACCAATGACCCTTGTCCAAAATCTTACGTCGGCCGGAACTTGTCCTTGAGCTGCCACCGTGTTCATCTGGCCCGTGTTGGTCCAGCCTACTACGAGGATGCCTATCCATTATAGGGTTACCTCTCAAGTGTTTTGATGGTGATCCGAAAAATTTTTATGTTCTTGCATGGTGGATTGTGGCTTGATGAATCCGATGATAGCAAAACCCCGTCTACAATTTCCAGTTGGTCTGATGCATATCAAGCTCGAAAAGGCGGCGGATTGGTGATGTCGGAAAGCTGAAGATCTTTGTATACGTACTACACGTAATATGTAGTGATCGTGCCTAGTGAGTTTAAATTTGGGTTTTTGTATCAATGTTGCATTGTTCCGTC